GATTAGTCATATGCGCACAAAAGAAGCCAATAGACAAAAGGATAAACTTTCTTCTCAATTATCAATTCAGTCAATRTTAACTTGATTGAATCTTCTGGTGCAAATAAAGACAGGTTCAAAAGTAAAAGGAAAACAGGTTACCAAGGAAAGAGTCCAAAAGAAGAAGAAGWTTTAATTTGAACGTTCCAGTGAAAGAATTGAAAAATCAAAGATAGTATGTTTCGTGTGCGGGAAACCTGGACACAGGTCCTACCAGTGCAACCAGAGGAAAGGAAACCCAGAACAAAAGCATGCTCCATTAGCCAACATTGCAGAAACAGAGGCCATTATTGTTGTTGTGGTTGTGAAGGCAAATCTGGTTGAAAACAAGTCCGACTGGATTTCGACTCTTGAGCTTCTCGACACTTTTGTTCGAACCAAGAGCTCTTCCACGAATTTCAAGACTCCACTGATGGTGAATGCGTCTTTATGGTTAACTCGGCCGTCCTTGGAAAAGGGAAGATTCTTCTAAAACTTACATCTTGTAAAACTTTAGAATAAGTATCTATTTAGCCCTTGGAAGTTTCAAAATACAAATTTTTGTTTCCTGAGGTTTGAAGTATGTGTTTATTTAGTCCTTGAGGTATCACTTGGTCCTTGAAATTTGAAAAATAGTTCCAAATGGTCATTTGACCGTTAGTTGACCATTTGTGGGTTTCTCTCTCTCTCTCTTCTCTTCATCTCTCCTTCATTTATCTCTCATGGCCAACGTTATTGGCGCCACTACATACCATTGCCATCATCGTCACTATCAGTCCCCGTGTTATTCCCATGGCGTGAGGGGAGAGAGGGAGATTTCCCTTTTTCGTTCCAGATCTGGAACGAATGAGAGAGGGAGACCTCTCTTCCTTGTTCCAGATCTAGAAGGATCCCTTTCTCCTTTCTCTAGACTTTCAAAATGTGCATAACTTTTACTCAAGCATGAACTTGGACGGGTTTTAGGCCGAGGGAAAAAATTGTGGGTTTGTAAAAGTGAGGGTAATACGATAAATTTATCTTTGACTGGCGTGTCAGAAAAAGTTGATTTAGGTTAGAAAGTAAGTTGTCAAATAGTGGRTCATTTGAGAAACGTGAAAACTTTTTTAGGTTGTTTTTGTCAGTTTCCCAACGAATTTCTCAGTACAATTCCTTCCTTTTGATCATTTTGTCTCCCTGTAGTTTTCGACTATTTGATTCAACTTTCCATTCATCTTCTTCATTCGTATCATAATGCTCTAAACTATTGCTCTGTTTCGTCTTCATTAGTCTCATAACATTCTCGTTAGTATGTTTTCAATTGTGTTTTSGTTGGGTTTTTRACCTTTTTGGGCAGTAGTTTGTTCTATCGACTACTTTCCCTTGGTTTTGATGGGTTCTTAGTTTTGTTTTAGGGTTGAATTGACATGGGTATAATGTGAGKTGTGGATATACGTTGTTAAGTTGTCTTGTTCTGAAATTTGTTTTTGGTAATGCATGTAATTATGGTTTTGTTCTAGTTTGTATGATATGATGGAGGGAGAGAGTTTCTACTAGCGAGAACGAGAGTGAAAGAGTTTGAGGTTTTAGGGCTTACAAGTAAGAGTAAAAGATAGAGATCTATAGTAATAAAAATAACCTGTAATAGAGTAGCAARAGGGAGATAAGTGAAAGCAAAAGTAGCGATAGTAGCGAGAGCGGGAGTAAAGAGCAGCGAGAGCAAGAGAAGCAAGAGCAAAGACATAATTCAAGAATTTTACAGTTAACTTCATTTTTAATAAAATTTTTTTGTTTGCGTCAATCAATTATTTTTATTCTTGTGCAAGACTTAAACGGAACATGTTCTAATGATAAGTGAAGCCAATCGCTTTCTCAGGTAAGCTACCAGCTTGTCGTACTCTGAAAGTACAAACAAATTTATCAGAAGGAAGCTCACCCCAACATAGCTGGATATGGTTAGGAGAAATATGTTGACTTGGCTTTCAAAAGTCGTCGGTGCATCATCACATCTTGTTAAGAGAGGTCGTGGACATGAGACCAGATGTGATGAGTTTCGGTATGAAGGATACCATTGTGACATTTTTGAAGGCTGAATTCCTACTTGTCACTAGATTATGGCGATCCTCTGGTAGAATGGCTCAGAATGAGGAATCGAACATTCACCTTTGAACAAAGTACTTCAACAATAATGTCGATAACCACCTTGCTTGGGTTCAAGGAACAGTATGAGAAAAGCAGTGTTCGATAACGACAATGATATATACAATGAATGTGTCATTGGTCTACTACACCAAACTTGTAATGATGGGAAAGAATAAGAAGAAAAGAGTGGTCAACAAGGACTTGTATGACCAAGTCGAGAACTTGGACTACTTCAACATGGATTGAAGGTCCAATATATGGGACAGGACATTGAAAGGTCTTCGAAATATGCATCGAAAAACAAGGCGGGTTACAAAGAGAAGGTCGCCTCAAAGAAAAGCTACGTCTTTAAGTACAATATCTCTAGATTTCTCTTCATTTCTAGGTTATACTATCGTCTCACACCTAATACATATATACACATATAAGTCTGTTGTCTATTTGCATATTTAGGTATACGAGACCAGCCCATCCTTAGTGCAAAAGGCTGCGAAGTGGCTGAGCGATACAGTCGTGCCTCGCATGCTTAGGTGGCCATGGTCTCACTCTATCACATCTAGATTATTAGAGTGAAGGGTCTTCAAATCCCCTAAAGTTAGGAAAACGATAACTTACTTTTATGTAGATGTCAATGTATGTATGTAGTTGAYTTATGTTATTATGTTTTCTTCATCTAGACAACAATTACTACTAGACTCTGGGAGTCGAATGCTAAGCAACAATATAARGAGACTCCAATCGATTAGACAACTGACATTGAGGAAGATACTGTTGCCACTCAAGGGTCGACACTACTACCACTAAAGGGTCGATGCCTATGGAGTTCAACGATGATGGATTTGAGAATGATCCCTCAAGTCAATTCATCAAGGACTACATGGACATTGACTGCCCAATACCTGTCGACCACTTGCAGGTGCCGCCACATTGACCTTCGATCTAGTTCGATCTAACATCGAATCACACCCATCAACTACAGAACCTACCAATACACCAACCCCTCTTTTGGAAAGAGTTGCTCCCTCGYACACCACTAAAAGGTCAAATGGAGTGGGCAAGGCCAGGACTAGATTATATTCTAGACGAATGTGCAGTGCAGTTCTTGTAAGAAGCATCTACGGAGCATCGTGAAAAGAGTGAAATATCTTCAATAGACGAACGTGCCATTCTCTTGGGAGGCCAAGCCCGTCATTCCGAAATCGCATTCAAATTCGAACCCTTACTTTTTAGAACTATCTTCTAAAGGTCGGAGATCAAACTGTTAATTTTTTAAACTTCGAGATCAAATAGAAACATATCTTTAAACTCAGGGATTAAAGGTATATTTTAWCCTTAATATTATGTATTATTACAATAACATATATTATTATTATAAGTGAGATTTTTTTTCTTTTTTTAAATCACATGGTGTAACAAATGTAATGCAGAAGAAGTGAAGGAGTAAAAGATATAGTATTTTCTAACACCTATTTCTTTTTTGCAAATAACCTCCAGAAGCTCTTTCCATCGAGGAGCTTAAAAAAATCGCACAACCGACAAACCAAACTGATCGGTTATGTTTTGTTATTTTAAATATATTGAACGTCTCAGTTCTTTATCTTTATGTGTAGTGTAATTAAATGTCTATTTAGTCCTGAAATTCCAAAATGCACATTTTTGTTTCCTGATGTTTGAAATATATGTTTATTTAGTCGTTCAAATTTCACTTGGTCATTGAAATTTGAAAAATAGTACTAAATGGTCATTCGACTGTTAGTAGACCATTTGTGGTTTTCTCTCTCTCCCTCTCCTCTTCCTCTCGCCTTCATTTCTCTCCCATGGCCAACGTTATTGGYGCCACTGCCTGCCGTTGCCATCATCGTCACTATCGATCCCCATGCGATTCCCATTTGCATGAGGGGAGAGAGGGAGGTCTCATTCTTTCATTCTAGATCTGGAACGARGGAGAGAGTGAGACCTCTCACTTGTTCCAGATCTAGAACGATCCCTTTCTCCTTTCTCTAGACTTTCAAAATGTTCATTTACTTCTTATACTTTTAACTTTTATTCATTTTTGTCACATTTAAAACTTGGCTCGTGTCCTTTTTAGTTTGTTTGGTAAAATTTCAACACAAATTTTATTTAGTGAGTGAAGTATTTAGTATACAAATAAACGAGATAAAAATGAAAATTAAAAACCAAAATAATCACTTTTTTTTTTCTAAAATAAAGGGATAAAAATATACGTTTTGAAAGTTAAAACAAAAAACAAAAAAAGTACAGAACCGAATCAAAGCCGAAAATACATTAACCAAAATAGAATAGTATTTAACCAGAGGTATTGGCAAAATTTTGAAAGAGTTTACAATTTCATTTGGTGTTTAATTAGCTCCCAAGCCCGCAGAGAATCTGACGCCGGTTGCCGGCAACCATAGATTCCCCTCAATAAATTCCGCCACCGTGTAGTTCGCGGCTTCACTCGTCTGATTCAGCCGGTGAAACCCCGGCCAATTGACCCGCTTCCCCAGCC